GCATCCATCCTAAAATTCAACTGTAGTTCTACAAGTACAGCAAGTACAGCCCACTGGCTCATTACCAAAGTATGACTTTCCCAGAACCAATGTTAACTACAATGGCTAATATGGTCAGCAACAAATAAATCCCAACTGAAACCGTGTATTTGTGGTTAACAGTTTAATCTTTTTAGAAGTCTTTTGGCATTGTTTATCTTCAACCCTGCCAGTATACACATACCCATCACTTCAAAGACTCTATTCTACTGCTGTTTCAGCAGCAGATGAACTGTAAATATATAAACATCACTGTAAAGACCAAAATAAAATTGTGTTGAATTTTTTTCAAAAAAAAAACAAAGATCATTTCCATTTTGGAAGACTATCTCAATCTCTAGAATTTGTTCACAATTATTTTCCCTTGGGAACTATTATGATTTAGAAGATGTAAGGTTTTGGGTGGGAGTTAGGAACTGTCAGTTCTCATGCTGATTCAGCTGTGGGTCCCCTGGACGACCTAATTCAGACTTCTTCATTTTTCTGGTTGTCTCCAAAAGTAGAATAAGTAATCACAATATGTCATGCTGGGACATTATGAGAATAAAGAACAGCCAACTCTAAGATAGCAATGGCTATTAAAATTGACAAATCGCTCAAATGTGTTGTTTTAATGATACTTTCATATATATATTTCCCTATATTTTCCCACATGATTCTTTTACAATAATTGACTCATTTAAAAATAGAAATGAAGGCTAATTTAGAATTTATTTATTTTGCCTTGTTTGTAGTGAGAGTTGTAAATAATAAAAATTTCAGTTGCCAAAAGGCAGGTACAATGGGACAAAATAGAGAACTTTAAATCATCCAGGAAGCATTGGCTCTGAAATGATTGAAAACTATACTTAACTCAGTAGCTGCTCTTCCTCTCTCATTGCCATCTAACTTTCAGGGGTGCCCCAAGGGCACCTGGCCCACAGTTCTTTTTCTTGCCTTCATCACAGACTATAGTCTGGGGCTGAAATCCCCCCTAAAGCAAGAGCTTCACAGCCATAGATCTCTTCAACCATAATTCATTTCTTCTTCACCTAAACTACCATTTGTCTGTTTCCACAGAACCTATTCTCATAATGGTCTCAAAAGTCTCAAAATTCCATGCTCTAAACTTATAGATCCAAGTCTCACTTTACATGTCACTCTACTTAGGTTGAGCCTCCAAATCAGACATTTCAATTAAACACTAGTTGGCCACCAAATGTGCCTAATACTCTGGATCTTCTGTGGTTTCTACCAATTCACTTGTCAGGCTGCAAAATTTCACCAAGCATGAAAGTTTTCTAAAGTGGTAATCAATAATATTAAATGCTGCTAAAAGGTTGACAGAGAGGAAAATGGAGGAGATAAGAAGTATTAAATGTATTTTATTTAACATATACTTTATCATGCTTCCTATGTACTGAATGTTTTGTTAGTGTTTTACAAGTATTGTTTTATTCAAGCCTCAGAACCACCCTATGAGGTGTGTACTATTATGTTTATCATTTTACAGTTGAGGAAATGCAGCACATAGAAACTTGCTCAAGATACTGTAAAAAGTGAGACAGGTCAAGTACAGGCAGATGCAGAGCTCATGCCCTAACTACTCATTTATGATGCTTCTCCTTTTGATATCAGCCCATTATTGGTAAAATTATTTTTCCAGAAAAAAAAATTTCAACAATATCATTCATATTCTGCTCTGACAATCTGACTCTATGGAAGTAGAGTCAAATTGTCAGAGCAGAATATGAACGATACTAACAATTCTCATGTTAATTTATTGGTGAATGGAAGGCAACACATTAAGAGAAGAGCATATTTTTTAAGCAGGATGATATGTCAATAGACAAGAAGTGAAAGTTGCAAGGAGATTATGAATAATTAATGAAGCTAGGATTAGAAAAAAGTGAAGGGGTATGGGAGATAACTGAATGCCGATCCTGGGAAAGCCTGTGGGACATTTCCTAATCAGCACGTGCAATAATGGCTTCCAGGTAGTCCTGCGGCAAGAAGGATGCAAAAATTAGGTTGAGTATAGTGGGAAATATGAAGAGATGTAAATTCAGTGACTAGTAAATAAAAGTATCTTGAAGCCAGAATATAAGTCTGGCCACAATGAGAAAGAACGTAACAGAACACAGTTTAGCGTCATCTCGCAGCTCTTTCTAGAAACATTCCTCAGTCTTAGAATGAAACTGGAGAATCATCATGACATTTTCCACTTCTAAAATATTTATACAATTTATTTTGTAATAAAATATTCCTGATGTAAATCAAATGAAGATCACTGTTTACATCCTATGCTATAGTAAAAATAAAAATCTAATTTAACATCTTAGCAATATGTACTATATAAATGCATACATTTGCCTGTGGCAGCCCACATCTACACTAAAAGGAAAAGTTGTTTGGATTAGTGTAACCCAGACTTAGTTAATGTAACTTTGACTTTTATTTACACATCCATTTATCTGGGACCCATGCACGAAATGCTCATTAGAATTACTTTGACTTTAGGTTGTTTTGGTTGTAGATTAGCTAGTAAATCCAACCCAGTAAACTGGTATTTCTAAATGTCTTTCAGCAACTTATGTGTTTTGGAAAAATATCTCCCTTCTGATGAAATTCATAGCTGGAAACCCACTTCCCCCATTTAACATGCTTTGCAATGCAACATGGCAACTCCTTCAGTCTGCAGAGCTAAATGATCACTTACATAAAGTTGCCATTTTAAAGAATCATGCAGGTGAATCTGAGATGCTTTCAGGGACAGTCTTTAAAGCCAGATAAAATTGAACCAATTTTAACTGAAAGTTTTTTCAGCTGCCAAATATTATGAAAATTATGTTCTATTACATTTCAGTCCTGGCCCATAGCCAAGAGAAAAATTAACCATTGACTCATTTGTACATTGTTTATAGTAAACACCAAGGAGAGGCTGTTACTACCAGGCTTATTTACTAGCAATCGAGCATTTTCCTAGGCATTTGCAATCAAGACTCACAGCTTTAAAATTCAACAAAGATACAATCAAATGCTTCTTGAATGGCTCAGGCAGTTTAACCACAGTACATAAATATTGAAAAGAGCTGAAAAGTCAGAGAGAAAATATCTTCCCTACTTACTTTCAGATGAACTCTTCAGGAACTCTGGGTAGCCTCTCCCAAGTTAATGACCTTGGAGAATATGTTGATCTGGTGGCTGGACTGAACACGGGCCGAGTGCATGAAATTCAGACACAAAATGAAAAATGCTCCTAAATGTGATCAAATACTAAGGATTACCAAATTCTTACAATGGAGACCTATGTCTCTGAATTTAGAAATTGAAAATTAATCTCTTAAAATCATATCCTTTATTTATTTTTTTTTTTTTGATACAGGGTCTCACTCTGTCACCCAAGTTGGAATAAAGTAGAGGGATGATGGCTCACTATAGGTTTGACCTCCCAGGCTGAAGCAACCCTCCCCATCTCAGCCCCCCACTCAGCCAGGACTACCGGCACAGGCCACCACCCCCAGCTAATTTTCAAATTTTTCACAGAAATGGGGGTCTCACTATGTTGTGCAGGCTAATCTCAAACTCCTGGTCTCAAGTGATCCTCCTGCCTCAGCCTCTCAAAGTGCTGGGATTACAGGTATATGACTATCCCTAGACTGTTTTTAATAGCAGTTTTGAAAAGTCTGCTTACAATATATTTGGACTGCATGAGCCTTAAAAAGATTAAACAAAGATACTAATTATATAATATTTAATCAAATTAAATCTCTCCATAAGCCAACCATCTTCTTGATATCCCTGCAGTCATCTGTTTATACAATATTTCCGTGATTACACATTTCTCAATTATGGGCCTGTGTATTACTAAATTTAATTTGTCATAATTAGGAATGTTTACACACAAGCAAGTTCTTACAGTTCATTTGCATGACATAAGATGTCTTTTCGCTGTGTTTGTGAATAATATGGAGTGAAAACTGTGGAACTATCAATTCTTGTTATTCACAGTAGTTATGTTCTGTAAAGACGCTGCCAACAGTAAAGTAGCAAATGCTGAACCACTGTTTCTGCAAAAAGACAGGATTAGATCCGTACAAGCCTCTGGTCACAACGTTTTCATCAACCAATTAATACATAAACTTGTCTTATGTGTGTTTCCTTTAAAGACACCTTATTTAACATGTTGTTGACTCTAACTTTGAAAGACAAACAACACGATAAGTCATGCTGGAAAACAACTTGTCTAACACACATATTTTCTTTGTAAGGCATATCACAGCCTTCTTATGCTAAGAAACACCAGGCAGCACAGCAACACTATGCTTGGAGGCCACTGACAACAGTAAATCAACCAGAAATAGGACAAACATGAGCAAAACACTGCACTAAATTCACCATGAAAAGGACACTTGTTTACAGTATGAACTGAAAAGAAGACTGTCATCTTGTTGAAGCACAACTAGGAATATGTGCATCAGGGAGCTAAAACATTTTTGCTACTCTGCATATGAACACAAATAACCGTGAGTGCTACCAGCACTGATTTTATGTTTACAAATAAATTTTAATGAGTTGGCAAATTTGCAAATATAGAATCCATGAATAATGAGAATGTACTGTATTTTTAAAAGCATTCTAGATTATCTAGAATTCTTAACAAAATTTTAATAATGTTGTGAACCGTGTATAATTCAGGAGAGAAAAATTATCTGTCCTTCATCCCCTTTCTGGAGATAGTAAATACAGTGCTAGATAAATATTTGCTCTTTCTTGAAATCTTTGACACTAAGACTAGTACATATATATGTATACATATGTATGTGCATTCACATGATGGCATGTAGAAGCCTCATTAATAACAAATGTCATGTAGGCACTCCTAGTTACCCTTATCTACTTAAGTTACTAAAACTACACTTATTCAATATTTCTAAAGAAATATGAAATTATAAGGCAAGAGTTATTATGGTCCTGTTTTCATTGAAACTATGAAAAGTAACTTTTCTTACAATAAATTTGACATTAGCTGTCCTTTCAAGAGAAAGACTGGGATCGATTAGTACAAGGCCTTCAAAACACAACACAACCCCTTGTCAAAATGACTTCTTATTTGTTTAATAATTGACATTATAAGCTGACACATTTTCCTTTAATATTACATTGGCAAGCCTTGTTCTTATGATATTTTAGCAGAGTATCATATACACATTTAAGATTAGTTTGTGATTGTAAAATCTATGATTACGACACATCTCAGATGTTGATTTTTTCAGTGAGAAAAAAATAGGTTTTTCACTTTGACTTTCACTTTCCTCTTTCAATTGTATCTACATACCTAAATCACCCTCTGTTTTAGTGAATAGAATTTGCTAGTAAAAAATTCTAATCATGGTCTTGATTTTTCACTTAGATGTTTAATACCTTACAAAGCCATACCTAACCAAACCACTCACTTAGTATAAAATACTACTACTAGATATCGCTTCAAAATGATCAGACGGTAACTTCTGATATTCCTTTAAAATGATATTATTACACCTAAAATGAAACAATTACATTCATTGCTATGTAGTCACCACTTGACAAGCTTGTTTCAGCAAAGTAAAATGTTAGGCTGACCCTCCACTGGGTTTTTAGACTCTTGGAGGAAAGAAATATAACTGGCTTCTGTTTTAATTAGAAGGTCTAGGCAAAAGAGCAAAGAAATGCACTGGAAAGAGTTTTGAAAGGACTCTTAGTTCATAAATGTCTCAAAATGTGTGTCAAAGTGCTACTCCAAATGTAGCCTACAATGCTTATTTAATGTCACATTCATTTTATGATGTTGAACTTGATAATTATGTTGAGATGTTTTCACTAGCTGAGTAGTCATTTATTTTGAAAATTAATTAACAGGTGGCTTTCATTACAATTCTACTTCAACTAAAAAGGCACTATAAGTTGTTGTTGTTGTTGTTTTTAACTTGGTGATAGGAAGTGGCATCATCCATTCCCCAGAGTGGTGATAGATTTCGTATGTCCATAATGTCGTTTACAAAGCTTTCAGCCATAAAAGAGAATCTAAATGAATTACAGCATCAAAAATCATGGTTTTGTCATTTGGGATTTTTATAATTAAAAAGATATGTTTGCTGATAGGATGATGACAATATGCTGCAATTTTAAATCATCTTCTTCAATGTTTATTCTGTTAGCACCTTTCAATCCATTATGTAAATTTGACAAATCTCACCTTTCCTTTTTCTTTTCCAGATACATTAATTATTATAAAAATTATATGATCATTATAGCTATCAAAAGAGCAAATTCATTGAAAATGCTATCTAAGAGGTATATAAAGGTTTAAAAATTATCTTCCCATGTTTCACAAATTAACAGGAAAAGCGGACCCACCAGCTTTGTAACTTTGTAAAACTCTAAAAGCCTGATTCTCTCTCTCCATGTCAATCTGATGAAAGCATAATTACACTCCCCCCAGGGAAACATCAATATCTGACCTTTGGAAAGTCATGGAAGTGGTAGAAAGGAAACATCTGTTCACAAATATCTCATTGCAGAATCTACACTGCCGTTCTTCACAGAAAAATTTTTTCCTCTAGCCCTGAAATTGGGAGTAGCCAAAGAATAGAGACAGGACAAGTCCTGGGAAACCCTCTCTGAGCAGTCTGTAGGTTACTGATTTTCTATTCAAGAAGGTATGCTGTCACTTGTTCTTAAGCTCTGTGAGGCAAGATTCAAACTGGACTGGAACTGCAGCACCTTGTTATATGGTTTTTAGAATCCAAAAAGCCACACTTAAAATAAAAATAACAGCAGAAAAATATCTTGTACAAAACCATGAACTATAACATTTGTCTGTAAGGTAAGCGTAGAGATCCTTGGACACACGCATTGTGTTTACCTTCTCTCAATGTCTCCACCAGTGGTTTTCAACAAGAAAGACTGAAAATGCTTATAGGACTAGTGAATGTTCCTGTCCTTCATTGCTTTCAACCTATTTGTGGACAGAGCCAGTACTCTGTCCAGACCAAAAACTTTGACCAGACCAAAAACACATTTTCTGAACTTATTCCTTCACTATGTTTGATATAGTTGGTATCTGTTTTACCTCAAATATTATTTAACAGGTTCACCAAGTCACAGGCAAAATGCCAGCTTCTGACTGAGTTTCTGCCTTTGAATTTCGGCTTCTATTCCAATCTTTCAGCATTAGAGACATGGGAGAAAATACCTCGGAACACTACTTTCCTTAAAAAAGCCGTAAAATTTATAACAGAAACTATTGCCTTCTATTTACTTACTGGGTTAAGAATCCTGTACAGAAGTGGGCTTTGACAATGAGAACAAAATTAAGTAATCAAACAGTGAAAAATTATCATGAGAATGAAAATTTGAAATGTATGCAAATACTTTGGATCATCTCAGGTGGTAACTATATAAGAGCACATTTCATGAGAAAAATTTTCTGGGGCGAATGGATTTGTAGGACTTGACTACTTCCCAAGGCACTGTGATGGTACATTACAGACTGAAAAGAACGTAGAACTAAATGGAATTCATTTGTCTCGGTTTAGATAAGTTTTTTTTTTTCTCCTAATAGATTGTCTTCCAATTTAGAAGTAAAATGTAATCAAAGTCTATGTTCTTGGTAGAACATACTTTATGTAGATGTTATACTGGTTCTTAGCCAAGAATGTCAGTCTTTTGTGACTGTTCTTTTCTTCTGATACTACCTGATCATTTGTCAGGTAAGTAAAGAGAAATGATAGATCAAAATATGTTACTCAGAGAATAACATGATTCATAAATATACTTGCAGCTTTTTAGGTTTCTTGGTATGTAAGGAGTTATTACATATTTTTAGCAAATGTACTCTAACATGTAACAGTTACTGTTCTGAGTCTTTCATTCTGTTTTGCCTTGGTTTATTTAAACAAGTTCTAATTTCTCAAAGTTGTTGATAAAAAAGAAATTTAGACGATCTTACAGAATTATGCTTAGGGATAATTTTAGTAAATGCTTATAAAATGGGGACCATGGGCCAACACTGCCCTAAGCAGTTTAATCTTCATAACAGCTTATGAAATAGTTACTGTTGCTTTCCCAGGTCAACAAATGAAAAGCCTAAGATAGTTCACGTAACTTCCCAAATGTCACATACTCATTAGTGGTGGAGCCAGGATTTGTACACAGACACACTGAGAAATTTTGTTTTCACCAATATAGGACCAGGAATCATTATCTAGATGTTAACATCTAAATTATGTGTATAAAAATATCCAAAACTAGATTAAATGACTCTCAGTGGAGTTAGCAACGGATCAGTATCCTCAAATAGATTTACTATTTGGCAGCTTTTTTCCTATGATTACAGAAAATTCATATAAGAGGGCTTGGGTGGTAAGACAGAAATTTTGAAGAACACAGAAACTCTTTTCTTAATGAGCACTTTTTGGCCAGTCTCTTTTTTCTTCAGTTCAGCTTTCAACTAATACCAGAGTTGGCTACTTCAGACATATCTTGATCGTGGTGCTACCTTTTTAAATCCTGCCAGTGCTGTCCACTTCAAACATAATAAAATTTAACTATTTAGCTTAAATGATGGTGTCTTCACAGCCTTGGTCCTAAATTAAGCTCCTCCATCTTCCCTCTCTTCTCTCCTCTCTATCCTCTACCCTTTTTCTGCTTAGCAAATTCCAGCTCATCCAAGGCAAAATTTAAATATTCTTTCTCCCTCCCTTCTTCTCTCTCTCTCTCTGACACACACACACACACACACACACACACACACTTCTCTAACAATTACTTTTACAACTTTCAGCCTGCATTCTCACGGAACTTTGATTCTCCCTTTCTTATAACATGCTGCCTTCTCTTTGAGTTATTTACTTATTTGTGTCTGTCCTGTTCACTGAGGGTGAGTTCAGTGAAGTCTAGGGCTGGACTATTTATCATTCTATACCTACTGCCAAGAACTTCATAGATGCTTCATAAATGTAGTTGCATTAAATTGAACTGAACTAAATTTAACTGAATTGAACATATATTATTCCAAGCACATGAGAAAATAAGGGACTATGCACAACTCTGATGCTTGAACAATTTCTGCCAGAAAATAATTCAACTGTTTCATTTTTTTGCATCTTGCACAGTGCCTAGCAATGTTTGACATAAAGGTGGTGTCTAATACATTGTGAGTGATTAAGTGAATCTATCTCATTGACCCCAAGTCTGTGAAACAGTCGAGAATAAAACCACTTTGTTAATGACAGCATCCTCGAGATGTCGTCACATGGGGTTCACATGGATATGGGCCAGTCTGTTCCCTCTCTAACTACCTGTGTGACCTTGGCAAGTAAAGCAAGTGCCTCACTTTCCTCATCTGTAGGATAAGAATAATACTAGCGCTGACTTCATAGAATTGTTCTCAGCAATTCTTAGTGCTCAGTAAGTTTAAGCACTATACATAGAAACTTACTGAGTTTATATGTGTAGTGCTTAAAAGCCTGTCTGGCACATGGTCATCCTAGCAAAAGACTTAGCTAAGATTATTGCCTAGTGTGAATTCTGTTTTTATCTATACTTACTCCGTACCCATTGATGTTTCCTGCAAGGCTCTTTTCAAGAAATTGAAAATGGTTACCCACATGAGGAAATGCCAGGATAGCTGTAGCCATCCACATGGTGCTTTTCTTTCACAGGATTAAACAAAGTGTCAGGTATATATTCCCTGATCCCCACAATTTTCTGGACCATGTGTTTTATTTTCTTTGTTTCATCTAGTTTTGCATGCCTATTTTAATGCATTTTACAGTAGAAAAAGGAAACCCATGGTGATGTTTACAGAAAGACTACCATTCCAGTAATATGCCTGCCATGAAGAAATATGCTACTATTGATTCATCAGACCTCATACAAAAAGATCTTCTGTTTCTCCAAATCAAAAGCTATGTGATAATGAACCAAATATATGAGAAAAAAGGACAAATGGTAGAAGTTTAATGGAGCCATATTTAATAAATCAATGCTTATTTACCATTTATTATGAGAACATGTTTTATAGTGGTAATATTTCATTTTTATCATTGTTAGTGTTTCCTTGTAATCAGATCTTTTTTGCATTGTTTTGTTTTTGAGATAAGGTATAGCTCTGCCACTCAGACTGGAGTACAGTGGAACAATCATGACTCACTGCAGCCTCAACCTTCTGGGCTCAAGGGATACCCCCACCTCAGCCTATAGCTGGCACTGTAGGCTCATGACCACACCTGGCTATTTTTCATTTTTTATTTTTATTTTATTTTTTTTGGTAGAGACAGGATTCTCCCTATGTTACCCCAACTGGTCTGAAACTCCCAGGCTTAAGCAATTCTCCCACCTCAGACTCTCAAAGTGCTGGGATTACAGGCATGAGCCACCACACCCAGACTTTGTAATGAGGTCTTAAACTATTGAACTTTTCCTGAAGAAAAGTACTTTTCACATCTTGTATTTTCAAAACATTTCTATTAGACACAGATACTAGTAACCCACAATTCACTTTCTCACTTCACTTTTGCTTATCAGAACTTTTTTGAATTTTCTTTCATTTCCTGGCTCCACTGCTTTATTTTCCTGATGAAGTAAGATTTTCATTATAGTTTTTGGATAGACACTGGTGACATAAAACCAAACCAAAAGATTGATCACATCCCCAAACAAGTCTGACTTCCTCAACTTTCTCTCTTAGCTTCTGCATAAAAGTCAGCTTTGGACTTATTTCTTATTTGCAAGCACTCAGTGCAAACAGTGATTGTAGATTAACACAGCAGTACACTTGAGCTGTTTGTATTATGAATTTTCCTTTTACAATTTATTTGAAACATAATTATCTTATAATAGCTTTCAGATTGTTCTAGTATTTTAAGTTTCACAGCATTAATTCATCTGGTATTGTCTCTGCTGACTCTTGCTCATGGTGATTTTCTTGTGAGGTTTGCAATCTATTAGTGTGGCTCATCATCATCTTGATTTATAAAATCCTGTCGGAATCCAAAATGCTCTGGGTTATGAAATGATGGTCTGGGACTTGGTTTTGCTGGGGGACCTAAGGAATTTCAATGATGTGGGACTGGGTTGTAAGATTGATTTTTCAGATCATGTTACCTATCCCACCCAGGTAGTATGAATGTAGAGCCTGCATCAGCAAGTGATTCAGATCTACAGCTTCAATTTCTCAGAATGTTTGGTTCTTCCAACACAGTCCCAGACAAATAGTAAGTTTGTTTACATTTTCTCTGGTTAATTGTTTGGGACTGTCTTCCAAGCTATGAGGTCTGGAAATCCTTAGAGATTTTGTGTTTTGTGCAAGACTCCCAAATTACACTTCCCTTCTTACACTTTCCTTTTCGGAAACCTCTGTGAAATGCCTTGGTATTAGTTTTCCATGACATCTCATTTTCATTCCCTTCTTACATTTCTTTTATAACACCTGGGGATTCAGTAGTCTAACAATTATATTCTCATATAAACAAACATGCTATAACCTCACTAAAATTAAGCAGGCTATTTCTTTATGTTTATTTTCTTATAACACCTGGGGATTTTCTTGTCTTTTAATTTTATCTGTGCTTTAGAATCAATCATTATATTTAATCTAATATTTTAAGGTAGCTTTTAGTCTGTTCACATTTGCTTATTCTACCATGTGGCCAAAAGCCTCCTTCTTGGGGTTTGATTTTTGTTTTTGTTTTTACATTCTATGGTCTTTCCTACTAACTGTACTAACTGCTAATCACGGTTAGTAGGAAACTTTCTTCCTCTCCAGCTGAGCTTTGTCCAGCCTTTTGTACCATGTCTCATCTTTTGTCCATAACCAAATTTTATACCATGACATCAGAGGGATTCCCAGAATAAGACGTGGGCTTTATTATAGATCAAACTCTGAATTAAATCTTTTTTATAGATCTCTTCTCCTTTGGTTAAATGTCATGAGTTCAACCATCATCAGCCAATAATAACCCTGTATCCCAACAAGATGTCTATAAAATTGAAAGAACCACAGTAAAGACATCTAGGACAACTAATAAGTTGGTAGAGTTTGGGGAGGAAGAAGATTGGGTGGCACTCCCAGCAAAGCATACAATGATATCAACATGTCCACACTACATTAAGGGACATGGAACAGCTTTCCCATCAGAAAAGGAGTTCACAGCAATGACTACTAATGACTGAGATGCAAAGATACTTACTCCTTTTTTTTAATGTGGTTGATGCCTCACTCAGAGGTAGATTCGTCACCTAATTATAGGCATCATATATCCAAAGAGCAACAAAGATCAAGCAACAACTAACCAGATATAATTCTTCATAGATTCTACTTTACAATCTGAACAAAAAGGAGATAACCTGTTTAATTTTAACCAGATTATAACTTGTTTGTTTATATGAAAATGGCATTGTTTGACTACTCACAGGTAAGCTATTGTGAAGAGCATCACATCTGTATTCTTATCATCAATCTATTTGGAACATTAAAGCCTCTGGTAGAAAAAGTATAAGTGCATTCTTGACAAAGGAATAGTTACCACATAAGATGACCTTGTAGAACTCCCCCTTAAATTAATCTTTTGTGATCCCGTATTTAGTTCATAGTTCAGAGACTGGGGAATTAGTACGGCAGTTAGGGGGACAGGAGGTGGCTAAAAAAGGCAGGGTTTCTGAATGACGTGCAGTGATCCTCATCATTTGGAGCTTCTGTATTTGTGAATTCACCTACTTTAAAAAAATCTATCTGTAAGCCCAAAATGGATACTCACAACAGTCTCATAGTCATTCACAGATATACACAGAGTAGCGAAACGTTTGATTGCTTATTAGGCACATTCCTAGCTGAGGCTGAACAAAACAGTGCTCTGCCTTATTGTTTCAGCTCATACTGTGAACAAATGTCCTTTCTGTGGTGCATTTCGTGCCACATTGTTTACATTTTTGTGCGTTATGTTGGTGATTTTACTGTTTAAAATGACCCTCACACATAGTGCAGCAGTGCTTAGTGTTCCTACGTGCAAGACGCTGTGATGTGCCTTAAACAGAGATTATGTGTGTTACCTAAGATTCATTCAGGCTTGAGTGCTACTGCTGTTGGCTGTGAGTTCAGTATTAATGAACCAACAATATGGTAGATCCAGAAAAAGGAAGCAGAAACCAATTTGTATGCAAGGCTGCCCTGGAAAATGCTAAAATACCATCGATAGTGTCTTTTAAAGGTATAAAAAACAACACAGGCTGGGCTCGGTGGCTCATGCCTGTAATCCAAGCACTTTGGGAGGCCAAGGTGGGCGGATCACGAGGTCAGGAGATCGAGACCTGGCCAACATGCTGAAACCCCGTCTCTACTAAAATACAAAAAATTAGCCGGGCGTGGTGGCACACACCTGTAGTCCCAACTACTCAGGAGGCTGAGGCAGGGTAATCACTTGAATCCAGAAGGCAGAGGTTGCGTTGAGCTGAGATCGCTCTTGCACTCCAGCCTGGCGACAGAGCAAGACATCGTCTCAAAAAAAAAAAAAAAAGTCAGTATAAAGGAGCTAAATTTGTGGATTCATGAGATGACAACAACCAACAACAAAAAAAGTGAAGTAGACAGTGTGATTTTGAGGCTGAAAGCCAAAGACATTTACAGTCACATTTCCCAGGATTAGAAAAAGATCAAGCCTTTTTCTAGCTAGTGCTAGCTGCTCTGCAATTTCAATAGGTGATAGGGCATGAAAAATGCTAAATGTGCAGGCAAGGCAAGTTCTGTACAGGAAAATTTTAAAAGTACCTGCTAAGTGTAGAAAAGGGGTTATGTGGAAGAGCACATTTTCAACACTGATAAAACTGGTTTGCTTCACAAGTATGTTGGCAAACATATCTGTATAATACAAATAGTCTCCAAAGCTCTTGGCTTTAAATCATTCAAAGACCATGAAATTAATTATTTGTAATATGTATATACTAACAAAAGTGCCTTTAAACAGAAACACACAGGAAACAAGATTATGTGTTGATAGATTCATAAAATATAACCAAAGGCTTCCAGGAACCTAACTCAGTATTTCCACTAGGAGCAATGATTTAGTATTTGCTAATTCAGCATTTACAGCAACTTTATAGCATACAACTACTGGAAATATTAAGAATGTTCTCTAATGCAGATATTTAAACTACCCAGGGGTAGAGACTAAATTTTTTGTAATAATAAATGGAAATAACATATTTAAGTGTTACAATCAAACCTCAACACATAACTACCAGGTAGCTGAAGACCATGCTATTTGCTAAAAAGAATTGGACATATTCAACTTGGCATGTGGGATCTGGCACTCCACTGGGTCTCATTTCAACAATATTATGTACTTAATAAGCTATTTAAATTATTTAATAGCTGTATTTTATTCAGCTTTCTATCCCAGTGACTGTGGAATTTTATTTTACTTATATTCTTTATGTCTGTTATTCATAAAAAAACTATAAGCTACTCAAGGGCAGAATCCAAGTATTACCTATTTTAGTATTCATGATGCCTAACATATCACATTGTACATAGCAAACGTCAAACAAATTTTTTTTTAGATGAAGTCTCACTCTGTTGCCCAGACTGGAGTGCAGTGGCTCCATCTCAGTTCACTGCAACCTCCACCTTCTGGATTCAAGCAATTCTCCTGTTTCAGCCTCCCAAGTAGCTGGGATTACAGGCGTGTGCCACCATGCCTGGCTAATTTTTGTATTTTTAGTAGAGACAGGGTTTTGCCATGTTGGCCAGGCTGGTCTTGAACTCCTGACCGCAGGTGATCCACCCGTTGTGGCCTCCCAAAGTGCTGAAAATAAAGGTGTAAGCCATTGCACCTGGCCCAAACAATTTTTTGTTGAATGAAATTAATAAAGAAGAATAAAAATATATTCCATAATCTCAGAAAATAATAACAATCATTTTTTTAAGTCATGGTCAAAGCTCACATTAAATTTCCTCATCATTTCCCAGAAATGTAATTCAGAATGATACTATTACATGCATTTTAAAAATGATTTTAGTTACATAAATAATACATGGATGCATATTTGTGGTGGAAAACTCTAACTCTAAACATTAGAATAGTGCATAAGCATTAGAAATAGTGTATAGGCATCTACCAACCTGCCGATCTCATGCTATGCCCCTCTCTGAACATTTTTATATAAATAGATGGCAAATATAACTAGAGCTAGAAGAATAGTATACAAACAAAACATGCACACACGCAGAGTTTTGTGGGTTTAAAAAAAATGTTTATGATGTGATCCAAATACTGATTTAGGAAGTATCA